CAGCATCTTAGCTGTAGAGGGCAGTGTCACTGGCCCTCATATGTGGGATCTGAATTGGGGCCCTCTGGCGTCCCAAGCCAGCTCTTAACCAACGCGCCCCTCGGCCGGCCCAAAAAGATATATTTTTGTTTTTAAATTAAATCTCTAGTATAAAGTTCCTTGATATTCAACTGTTTCCTACTAAACCTAATGCTAGAAAATTCCACTTTTTCCTTCTTTTAACAAAGAAATCATCTCATTTTTTAGTAAAAGAAGCCCCTCACTTTAACTTAATGAAGGTCCTCATTTTCCTTCCACTAAAAAAAGTCTGACGAATCAATGCATTTGTGTTTGAAATTTCACGTTAGAAAACAGGTTCTAGAAAATTTAAAACATGTATATACTCTCATGTGATCTTTTTCCCATTAGATTCAAAGCACTTGAAAACAATTTCTTATCAACTTTCCGTGGATATTCCAGAAAAAGATATAACTGATGACAGACCATTTGATTTTCAACTAGATGAAAGAAATATATCCATTGTGTGCTGTGATTCTAGGATAGCATGTGGAAAGGTAATTTTAGGTTTGATTTTTTTTTTATTTGCTACTTTTCAAAAGCCAATTTTACCTAAAATTATAAAAGCTGTCATGATTAATATGGCAGCTTGGAACATGGCACATTTAACTATTGTCAAAAAGAATTGGTACAGACTTGGCTTTTTAACTTCTACTAGACTTTGCAACAGTGCTTTACATATGTTTTATGAGGGGCTCTTTTGGTTAAAGCCTTTTTACTTTAAAATATGGTAATTGATCATTAAGGAACATTTGGAAGCCTTAGAAAACTAAAAAGAAGAGGAGAAAATCACCAAAAGTCTCATCTTCTTCCCAAAAATCATTAGTAATATTTCAATATTTTCTAGACCTGCACTACCCAATATAGTAGCAAATACTACATATGGCTAAATTTAAAATAATTAAAATTAAATTAAAGTTTAAAATGTAATTCTTTAGTCACACTAGCCAAATTTCAAATGCTAAATAGCTGTATACAACTAATGGCTGCCAAATTGCAGTACTGATACAGAACATTTTTATAGTCACCAAAAGTGTTATTAGATAATACTCTTNAACAGTGATCGTTTTACTTCTTCCACTTCCAATCTGGATGTCCTCCATTTCTTCTTTAATAAAATTTCCCTGACTGGAACCTGCAGTGCAATGTCGAATAGAAGTGGGGAGAGTGGATATTTTCATCTAATTCCTGATCTGAGAAGGAAAACAATCTTTATCATGTTTTTTTTCCTTTTTATTCTAATCAATATAGTATATTCATTAATTGAAGTACGGATGTTCAAACTTGCATTCCTAGGATAAACTCTACTTTGTCCTGATATATAATATGTTGTTAGATTCCATTTGCTAGTATGTTGTTGAGGTTTCTTGTGTCTCATAAATATATTTTGATCCACATAAAAAGCATAAAATCCTTCTGTAATAACAGTACCTTCCATTTTCAGAATGCTTTACAGTTTCAAAGGGCTCTCTCATAAATTGAATTTATTCCCAGAATAGCCAAAGTCCATTAATTAGAACAACTCGAATGACCTTATCTGATCTCAGCTACCCATCTGGAAACCTCGCCATCATCCGAGTGCCCAACGAGATAAATGGCTTCACGTGTATAGTCCAAGAAGACATGCCCACTAACCCCGCAATCCTGGCAGTGCTGGATTCTTCTGGAAGAAGTTCCTGCTACCATCCAAATGGAAATGTCTGGTAGGCTCCTACGTTCTTCTTGCTGCCATTGTGCTTTGGGGGTTTGTGAAATTTTATTTTTCCTTTTATTTTCTTACAACTTGATTGACATATAACTGACATATAACATTGTGTAAGTTAAAAGTACAACTGTGTTGATTTGATGCACTTATAAATTGCAAAATGATTACCACCATAGCATTAGTTAATACCTGCATCATGCCACATAATTATTATTTCTTTTTCTTGTTGAGAACATTTAGGATATACTCTGTTAGCAACTTTTAAGTATATAATACAGTATTATTAAGTGTAATCACTATGCTGTCCATTAAGACCCCCAAAACTTACTCATCTTACAACTGGAAGTTTTCTTTTTCCTATTTAATGATAAAAATGGCTTTAAGAAAATTTATTTAACCTATTTAGATAATAATGTTCAACTGTGAGAAATATTTGATTTATGCCTTTCCATATGTTCTCAGTGGGAAACTCCTAGGCAACTATGTAAAACAAAGCTCATCATATGCTTTCTGTAAACAGCAAGAGAATACGAAGCATACAATTTCAATATTAGGGAAAAGTCTCTAAATAAATTATATGGTCACCATAGGGATTTGGGATATGAACCAGGCGGTCTCTGTAGAGCCTGTCTGTGCCCTCATAGTGTTACACCACCTCATCCATGGAAATAACTTACAGTGCACAGGTGCCCCACTGTGTTATTGTGTGAGATGTATTTGTAACTAGTAAGCTTCCTGCAGCCACACCCAACAGCAATAACATACAAACCAAATCTCTAGAAAAATTAAAATCCTGATCCCATTTTGATCTACTAATTTATATACTCTGTGACTTCATATTATTTAATTTAGCCTGAGAAAGTAAAATTTAGGTTCTAACTTCAAATACAATTTAAACTTCTTGAGCTTTTCAGGAAGAGATATTCCCTCCCTTTAAATTCTTTAAAGGTATAACCATCTCATCTTGAGAGACTCTGCCAATAATTGACAAAGCTCGGACACTGCCAGGACTTGAGAAAGTTAGGACGCAGAGAGCTATTTGTGTTCTTAGTCCAAATCAGTAGTCAATCCATTATCCCTATGCATATTGGAGAATTTCTACTTATCCTTCAGGGTTCAATAGCATTGTATTGAACTCTGTATTACACAGGGTGGGGGTACTATGCAATTGTCACCAGATACTCATTCGTTTCTAGGACTTTTCCCTTGCCTGTGCAGCCCTCTGACCCACCAGCTCTCCTGGGCCCTCTGACATGACTCCTTGGTCCTCTCCTAGCTGCCTCTATTTGCCTCTTGTGAAGCAAGCCCATCTCCCCTGCTGGACTGACGTTCTTTGAAGGCACACCCTGGATCTTTGCCACTACGTAGCATGTATCTATCTGTATATGGTATAGACTCAAAGAATGTTGATTAAATAATTTATCTAGATAATTTTGCATCCTCCTTCCCAGATATAATGAGATAATAGCCTCCATTTCTCATTTGTGCTTTTGCTATTAGATTATTACCACTAATCAATACTGGGGGAATAAGATTAGTCATTTTACTTAGGGGGCACTCATGACCAATTCATCTGGTTTTAAAAAGTAGTTCATTATCCAATTAAGCCAACTTTCTAAGAACCCAGAACTCTAACAATTCTGTCTGCTCAAGAAAGGCATGGTGATCCAAGCTGGAAGAAGGTGAGCGTACGAGAAGAAGATAACCAGGTAGAATGGAAGTCATTAGCACCACTAGATGTCAGACTGTGCAGTGCTAAATTTGTACATGTGTAGTAAACTGTGGCATTGGTGACGCTAAGGGACTGGGGAGCCCATCTGGTCTAAGCTCCCCCTTCTGCTCTGTTACAGAGCTGTTCACCACAGTGACCTCTGAGATGTTCCCCAACTCCCTCCCTCCTGCCCACACCCATCCCTGATGAGAGGTCTCCTAGAAAGTCTTCTGGTTCCCAGTTCTTGGATACCGTTAGAAAACAACTCTCTTGCACTGAGGCCAATTTGGCCTTCCCCAGAATTTACATCGCCTGGCCTTCATTTTGGCAGAGCAAAATATGAGCCCTGGCCCTCTCCCCTCTTTCACATATAGACCGCTCTCCTGTATTTCTTCTGGTCCAGACTAAACCTTCCCTGTTCCTTCTTCATCCTTCCCAGCACATAAGTTTCCAGATAGCTTTACCATCCTGGTTACATTTTTTAGACCCAGTTTGGTTTTAGGTCTTGAATTGGACTCAGTACTTCAAATTAGTATAGATTTCAGTCACAGTCTTATGACTCCTAGGATCACCTGAGGTTTTCCACCATCTGGATGCTATTGGCTAGCAGAAACTGATGCTCTCTGGTTAGCAAATGACAGGGCTAATTTCAGGGTGGAATTATTATGCTACTGTGAATGATTTTTCATTTCCTTTCTGCCCAGGGTATACATCAATATCTTGGGAGGTCAATATTCAGATCAAGCTGGCAACAGAGTACGAGCTTGGAATTGGTCAAGTTCTGCCTCTCCCTCACCCTTTGTTTCATTTAAGCCTGTCTTTCTGGCTTTGAACCATTATATTGGAATTCGCATCTTAGAACAAGACAAGATTTCAATCACTTTTCTAGCAATGGGCCAACAGGCAAGAATCAGTTTTGGAACCAAAGTGAAGGTAAGCATGTTTTCACAAACAACTAAAGCATTTAGAATAATAAGAGTAAAGTAACTTTTGTTAGTGTTATTACTGATAAATTATACTTGTGTGTAATCTGCCCACTAAGAATTTTAAATTCAATGAGAAGACACACAGTGAAAGTGTCATATGGAGTGGGGGCAGCCTGATTAATTGTTTCTTCTTCCTCAGAAATTCCTTTTAGTTCGGACTTGGATCCAACCAACATTTACTGAGTGTTGGCTCTGTGGCTGGACAGTGCTGCTTTGGGAGTTTGGTTTTTGGGTTTTGTATTGTGTTTGCTTTTCTCTGTACTATAGTAGAAAGCCCAGAGTTAAGTCAGGAGACCTGGATTCTCACCATGGTCAAGACCAAGTAGAAGCCCCATCTACTTGGAGACACTTCCCAGACCGCCTAGCCCTTGGCCCACTGAGGGTCAGTCACCTCCTCCTCTGGGTTGTCCATGCGCTCACCCCTGTCCCTGGGCTTGCTGAGCCACGCCACCTTTCTTGCCCTCATGGCCACCTTTCCCACTGAATGGCGAGCTCCCGAAGAACAGAATCTCTCACTGATTCCTCTCCCGAGGGTGTGGCCCCGAGTACACCCTCAGTCACTGGCAATACTGCACAACGGTTAAAACATGGACTTCAGGTTACAAAGACATTGTTTCAAACCTCAACTCTGCCGCTTAGCTAAGTGGGTGAACTTGAACTTCACTTCCCCCATGCGTGTACACACAGCCCCAGGGAAAACTCTGAAATTGAAAATCTACCTCCATAAGTGATGGGCAGGGAAACACTGAAGACAGAGGCTGGCCACTCCACTCCAGCCTGGCGATTAACAGAGTTTAGTAAGAGAAACTTAACATACAAGGTGCACCATGAGCTGCTGCAAAGCGAAGTGGATATCCTCCACACTGCTTGGTAGGCCCCAGAGAATTATATAGATCAAGGCAGGATGGATAGGGACACTGGTACGTGACCCATCCCAGGTAAGGAAAAATGCCTTACATTCATGCCAGGGTCAGGAGAACAGCCTGTTCCAGGAACCAGCATTCTTGGAACACAGCGGAGAGGTACTGTTCATGTCAGAAGGAAAGTACCGATTACAGACAGTCTCTGAGGGGATTAACATGAAGCAGTCTGCTTTGGCATAGGTCTAGCTCACCGGTCTGGCAGTGTCATACCATGGGACAGTCCCTCCTCCACACCTCATCTATCAGGTGGGGATAATGATTCCTACCTTATAGATTGTGATGGAGACTCAATGAGAATGCAAAGTACTATGCACTGGCTTGGCTCTGACTAAGTACTCAGTCACTGATAGCTCCACACAGATGTAGAGTTTATCAATTATACCTCAGTAAAGCTGAAATATACACACAGATGTAGAGACAGACATAGAGATCTATGTGGATCTCTATACATATGTAGCATGTATCATATGTGACTTTGAACAGTCCCTTAAACTTTTACTTCATTTCATCAGTTATTGGAAGAGGTAACTCCAAGCTTCAAAGGTGTCTTCAACTTGAAAGAGTCTATACTTTTCAGTAAGTGGAAATATGACCTCAATATTCAGCATGGGTAAAATTAGCTCATAAACATCAAACAAAAGGGAGACTTCAGATTCAGCCAACATACAGTGAAGGTCTGCAGTACGCTCCTCACTGTTCCAGCTACTTCCCATCAGTCTAGCTGCCAAGGTCAGCTGACTGGGCTCAAGACAAGCTTTCTTGGTTAGAAATGTACAGCATAGCCTTCTTTTGGTACATTACATTCATAGTAACAGCATTCTTACCAATAATGTAAAAATACACTCCCTCTCTTCAGAAATGAATTCCAATCAGAAAAAGAGTCATTTTCATGCAAAAGAAAGAATTTGATGTCAAAGTTCTTAGTTTTCTCATTGTCCTCATAATCATCCTTTTAGATGGTTTTGTTTTTTTGTTTTTTTTTAAAGATTTTTATTGGGGAATTGGGGGATGGGAACAGCGCTGGGGAACTGGGGAAAGGGAACAGATAAGTTGCTGTCCTTTTGTTCTTCAGTCTAGTTGTGGAGGACGTTGCTTCACTGGCCCAAGTTGGCACCATCATTGCGCTCTTCCCAGGTGAGGCAGATCAGTCGCCGGCCTCTGGACGGCCGCTCACGGCGGCTGTTGGCCACTCATGCTGGCTGCTGGCTACACACAGTAGCCCATGGCAACCCACTGCAGCAGGGGCTGCAGCCTACGCCGTCGCCGGCGACTCACGGCAGCCCAGCTCCAGGTTGAGCTGTTGTTCAGCATCTTAGCTGTAGAGGGCAGTGTCACTGGCCCTCATATGTGGGATCTGAACCAGGGCCCTCTGGCATCCCAAGCCAGTTCTTAACCAATGCGCCACTCGGCTGGCCACTTTTAGATGTTTTAAAAATACAAAAAGGACGTGTGTGAATAAATTATTATATTTGAAGGTTCAAATAACAGAAATATATAAAGTAAAAACTGAGATTCCACCTTTATCCTTGCTTTTATTCTAACTCCCTTCCCAAAGGTAACTACCACCCAAAATTGGTGTGTATTTCTCTCTTCTATGTATTTTAAATTATTCACATATATCTTTTTAAAATAAAAATTGGATTATACCATACTGATTATATTGTTGGGGTGTTCTATTTGTTTTTGTTTTCCACTTAACAAATATTAAAGGTTTTTCCATGTCTATATTTCCAAGCATATTTGTCTGTTTTATTTTTAATTGCTACATAATATTTCAGTGGTTTCTCTACAATTGTTAACTATCTTTTTTTATATATGTGTGTAGAATTAACTTCCAAGTCCTCTAGTTTTTTCTTTTCCTTGACAACAAGAATTCTTTCAACTCTCTCAGAAAATATTAACTATGTCTATTCTAAAGTCTTCCTCTGACTATTAATTCTGTTTCCTTGAGTCTAAGTATCTCTGATGGGTGAATCTGATGCCTCTCTTTCATGACCTCAAATTTCCTCAGAAGTTTAGTGATTCTTGGTTGTATGTTCATTTTTGTATTTGAGAATCCCTGTTTTCCTGCATGTTTTGCTTACTGCAATTTGCTTCTGGTAACTGTGGAGAAGTGATATGTACTGCCGAGGGGTAGGCGGCTAGCCCCAGCACCAGGCTTTCAGCCCCAACCAGGGCTCCTCTACACAGAGGAGAGCGGGAGGGGCTGCCTCCCAAATCCTAGTATTTACCTCAGGGCCTTTCCTGCTTCTCATTTCTGTTGACTTTGAGCTCAGAATGTGTGTGTTTTGGGTTAGTGGTTTCATTTGGTCATGTCTCACTCTGGATATGGTCCCATCTGCTTTTTTATTTTTAGGCATTCCTTAAGATTATTTCATCTGATGAAAAATGTTTCTGTTTCCTAGAACCATTATTGATTTGCTCTCTAAAAAAGTTTTCTGTCACGTTATGGAATTTGGAATTGAAAGGAGGTTAAAAATGCTGATTCATTCGTTATTCCTCCATTTCATACTCCTCCCTCCCTTCCTCCCTTCTTTCCCTCCTGATCCTACTTTCCTTCCTTTCTTCCAATGGGGGGAAGAATGAAAATCCAGAAAGATCCTGTGAGTTCTCGTGTCTTTGCAGGTAAGTGGTCACTCTGCTTGCAGAAGGCAGTTCAGCTTGTATTTAGCCTGCCTGGCTGAAGCTAAACACCACTCCTAGGCTGGTCCTGACATCGCAAACAGGAACCTCCTTAGGCAAGACTGTTCCAGCAGATCCATTCACCTTCCTGCAGCAGCAAGGAGACATTAGCCTGAATCACCAAAGGCTGTGAGGAAGTAAGGAGTGCAGAGGCCAAGGAAAGGCCCTAGAGAGGTTAATGTGGAATGGCCTCCCGGAGGTAGCGTCACTTTTAGGAGAAGGAAAGGAGTTTTACTTGCCTGAGTCCTTCTTGAAAATGTCAGCTCAAGTGCTACCTTCTCTGTGGAAGGCTACCCCCTCAGTGCCCTCCCAGCCAGCATTTACCACGCTCTCCCGCACTGGGCACTTCCCAGGGAAGGCATCTTTGTGCTCCCCTCAGTATATACTAGTTAAATTATTATTAGGTTGCACCAACCTAATATTTGAAAACATTGTAAGTATTTGGATGTGTCCAAATCCTGTTTGCTCTGGCCTGCTCTAGTCTCTCAAGTCTCCACAGCATTTCAGCTCATCCTCGTTCAGATTAGAATAACAGCACTGACGTTTATAGATAATTAGACTCAAGAGGGAATCCAGCTCCGAATTAGTGCCGCCGCCTCCCACCTCCTTGGTTCCACAGGCACCATTTCCACTACGGGACTCTGAGCTTCCCTTCTCTTTCTCTTTGCTGAAAAGCTACCAAAACCTGAGGAGATTCCGGTTCTCCGACACTTGAACGGGGATGACCTTCTTCTGCTGGCCAGTTTAATAAAGATCCGACGCCTGTTTCATAAACTTGAAGGATGTGTGAATTTTCCCTCCAGCCAGATGTGGGAAAAATTTAAGCAACCTTCCTACCTTTCTTCACTTTCTCTAAAACTAATTGCCCTTTGTAACAATTCCGGTATAAAGCAAGATACAATAACAACAATAGCAGCGATAATAAATGAAAAAATTTAAGAATGATCGTGCTTTCGTTTGTTTTGTTGATGTTTTTACGGTGGGTGGGGGTGGGGGGGAGTGGATTGTGGGAGATTTCAAGAAAAGTATATAAAATGACCGGGAAAGACCAAGAAATATGCTTTATTATAAATTTAGAACACATCCTGAGTCATCACAGGTTTACATTCTGGGTCGGAAAACTATTAATTAACAAGTCAATTTCGGGACACCAGAGAATGAGCAAAAGTGTCCACATCAGTTAGAGCTCCATCAGGAAAACAGAAAGCAGGGAGGGATTAGGCGCTTCCAAAACCAGTCAAAAGGCTGAGGAAGTGAAGGTCAAGGAAAAGCCTGCTGGCTTTCAGGAAATCTGGAAGTGAAGGAATCTCAGGAAGCCAAGAGCACCAAAGTGAACGAGGGGCCAGAGCTCCGTGGGAAGAGCTGCAGCCTCACATTAGACTGAGGGAATAACAGGAACTGCCATCCAGCTGAATAGCCACCCCCTCCTGCCAAAGGTGAATGATGGCTGCTGCTTCTCTCCCACCTTGCAAAACTCAGGCAGGCATCTCTCATGGGGGATAGGAACTGGACCTGGCTAGCAAAGGACTGTGGGACGATATTTCTTTTCCCTTCCAAGGGGCGTGAGGGCAGATGCTGCTGAATCTGCAAGGATAGCACAGCAGTTTCTTCTGCTCAGTGATAAAGTCACTTTAGAGCAGAAGGCAGAGTTGAGAGCTGGAGGTGAACAACCCTACTGATATCCTTGGAGCACCCAACACTGCTTCTCCTGAATTCTCCGGACTTCTCGGTTCCCTGTTCTTTTTTTTTCTTTTAATTTTATAATAGTTTTATTGGAATTGAATGGCCACATATAGCTTAAAGCTGTCATCCGCCATTGTTTTTATTTTAATTTATTTTTAATTATAGTTGATATACAATATTAGTTTCAGGTGTACAACATAGTGATTCAATATTAACATACCTTACAAAGTGATCACCACAATAAGTCTAGAAACTATTTGTCACCATACATATAGTTATTATATTATTGACTCTCCTCCCTATGCTGTGTGTTACATCCCCGTGACTTATTTTGTAACTGGAAGTTTGTACTTCTTTTCCACCCAACTGTTCTTTGGGAGAGGTGAAATGTAGTTGGAGGGGACCATTCCTTATATAGTGAATTCCAAATTTGGTGCTAATGCCCAAGAGGGATTAAGCCTATCAACCATTCACCACTTAGTGTGAAGTACTAAATCACATTGTTTTCCTACTAAGAGCCAACTGAGGAAGCACAAGGAGGGAATGGAAGGGAAAGGAGTAAGTGGAAGCACGGGCTACCCAGGGAAGGCTGCTTGCCATCCAGCAGGAAGTAGGAACTAATAAGGAAGTAGCTGAGATACTGGGAGATGCTCCTGAGTCCCGGTATTAACCCGTTCACCACCTTTTACGTTGTTGCCTTTAGCCAGCTTGCTTTATAGGAACTGCGTTAACACTAAAGATTCTGTTTTATTATTTTTCCATTTTTATTCTTGCTAATCTCCACCACTGTCTTTGTAAAAATAAGGTTCCTAGACTCACGTCTTAATGCTAAATCTGTCTTTTTTATTTTTGCCTACTGCGTCTCCCATTTCATTGATGAGTGATCTTTTAGTTTCTATCAAGTGAGATAGAAATATTAAATTAATTGAGCTAATAAGTATCAGCACATCTCTGAAAAGTAGCACATAACAGTACAACAAGTAATGATCACAATGAAGCCTTAACTGAATCTGTTTTTGTACATTAGTAAAAACGATTTGGGGTATGCTGAGCCCATACTAGGTACGGAGTGAGGCCCTGATTAATTGGACATAGGCAGGATAATGAGATGACATCTTATACCATGTTGTATCCTGTTTAATGCCAGAAGGTTATTTAGCATGATCTTTACTTTTTAAAAAAATGATAATTGTTTACACGTAATAAATACATGTTGTGTCTCTTAAAATGTATTAAAAGGAAAATGTTTCCAAGTGAAAAATACTTATATCTATTTGCTATCTATCTATTAAGGTCATATATCAAGGCAGTTATAATTATTTAAGGGATTGAGTTGTTAAAAATAACAATAATGATACACCTTATTTTGAGCACCTCTATGTCCCAAAAATGGATTGGGGGAGAAAAAAAACACTTTAAAAGTGTAGATTTTGGGCCGGCCGAGTGGCTCAGTTGGTTAAGAGCTCACTGAAGAGTGCGAGCTCTGAGCAACAGCGGTTCGAGTCCAGCCCAAGCTGAGCTGTTGGTGAGCTGCCAACAGGTAGCAGGATGGCTCAGCTAAAAAAAAAAAGTGTAGGTTTTTCTAGAAGTAAATATTAATGAAATTATTATGTACCTAAAGCTTAAAGTAGTACAAAAAAATCTTTGTCTCCTTTTATTCCTGATCTCAGAAATATGGCTTTTATTTTTATTTTGCTTATACATATTTTAGTTTTTATTTATACATTTTTTAGACAGATAAAATGATCATCTCTTTTAGAGGAAATATATATTTACACACACACACACACACACACACACACGGTGCCAAAAAGTTATATACGCATTTTAAGAAAAGAAAAACTATTAAAATTGTAATGCTCGATATATACCAATAACAAAAGATGAATACAAGTCACTTTGACTTCTGCAATTACAAGAGGTTCTCAAAGTGGTTACCATCAGCGTCCAGATACTTCTGAGTATGGCAAACTACTGCTTGAGCAACGTTGACCAAAGTGTCCACTTAGATACATTTTTTTGGCACCCTCGGTATCTGTTTCAAAATTTTAAAACTTTACTTTCTATGACCTTAGGGCTCTAAGTGTTCAAAAAAAAACTATTTTTTTTAAGATTTTTATCAGGGATTTGGGGGATAGGAACAGCGCTGGGGTATTGGGAGAAGGGGAACAGACAAGTTGCTGTCGTTTTG